GGTGTGAGGAATCACTGGAGAATACTTTGCAGAAGGAGAACAATGATGCTGCAGAATAAAAAAAACATAAAGGGAATTAGCAAATATTTGAAATTCAGACATAGTATGAAAAATAACAGTTAAGGGACAATTTTGCATCAGACAAAAACATGAAAATTAAAGAACAGAATTGAGTGCTTTGATTGAATGAAAATTATTTGCAGTCAAATTTCAATCTTCTTTCATCTCCTTTCTGAATTTCACCATGGAGTGATTTGCTGAATAATAGCATATAATTTTATTACATATCCTTCCAATTAGTTATCAAAAATGTATTGGGGAGCATTCAAATATTTTTAAAATTTTTATTTCTAGTATCAATATGAGATAACCTAAGAAACAGGGCAATGTTTTTTAATAGGGCACGTTTTTATTCATTTTCTTTTTTTAAGAGAAGTGATGAAAGACGTTATTTTCTTTAGCTCCTTATTGTTATTAAAGTGAAATTTTACTCTAAGTTAAAGGAGTGTAATTGCACACTCCTGCACGGCAGGCGGCGATGTGCAGCTTTAGTGTTTGCAACCCGTCAGTAAAACAAGAGAAGAAGAAAAAGGAAGACGGTTTAGCTTCTCCGCCGTGTCAAACCGGTGTCTTTAAACGATTCTATGAGTTTATTATTAGGAACACATATATACTGTTTAGACTTTTAAACGTTATCAAAACAGAAATCTTGAATATATATATTTAAAATTGGACCTAAAGATTAAAACAGGTAGTAGCTAACTGCTAGTAGCTAACATTAGCCACATCCACAGCTAGCGTCGGTTAGAGCTCTGTTGCCCTGGCAACGGACGAGAGGAGCATCAAGGAGGCCACGAACCGACTCCTCGAACCTCATTTAGCTGTTTTTACCATTATTGTTTTTAAACGAAAGTCTCCGGATGGCTGAAGAGGGAAGAAGACGCGGAGAGGAAGAGGACCGGGGCCCCGGAGCGGCTCACCGGGGCTTTGTGATGATGGAGAACCTTCTGGAGAAGCTAAAGCTGCTCAACTACGAGGAGGAAGTTCTGGTGAAACACAACATGAAGAGCCTGACCAGGTGAGACGGACAGGTGAACAACAGCTGATTAAAGCAGCTTTCTGTTTATTTCAGGAGTAAATAAACAGATAAGAGGTGTAGATGAAACAAAATATGGATAACTAGAGACCATAATGACATTTAAATATTAATAAACATGAAGCAGGTCTGTTTTTAGGTTCATTAGAACATTAAAACATGGAGATGTTCTGATCCACGAAATGATCTACCACTTTGGAAAACATTCTGATTTATGATCTCCTTGATTTATCACTGAAATATCGAGAGTTCCTGGGATTTTCTTTTGTTGCAAATTACTTCATAATGTTAGGGTTTTATAATGTCAGAAAATATCTCTAGAAAAATTATTCCTATAATTTTTAGGCATAAATGAAGGCGGTTAACAAGCAGCTCACTAAATTAACATTTTCTCTCAAACATTTTATTTTTTTATATATTTGTTTTCATTTTTACTTGGCCTGTTGCAATAATCTATTAATAACATGATAAATGAAGATGAACTCAATAACTCCCATTTGCATAATTTTTTTTTCTTTTCTCTACCAAAAACTGGATGACAAAAGTCTTCGTCACTCTGTTTTTTTTTTTTTAGTATGTAAAATGCTATCAAATAAGATGCATTATTATATTATAAATTATTCAATATTGCAAATATTAAATAATGTGAAATTAATTTAGAAATTTTTGCATAAATTTGCTCCTCTGTGTCTACATAATTTTCTTTTTTTTCTGTGATCTACATTAACCCTGAATTTAAAAAGACTAAGGAAATTGTGTGAAGAAGTTCTGGTTCTGGACTGAATTTGTAAATGATTGTTATCATGGTATTAATGTGAATCTCCAGGCTCTGTTTCAGTTTCCTTCGGTTCTAATCGTGTTCGGTCCGCCCTGCCAGGCATTACTTCGTCTCCAGTCCGTACCTGGCGTCCAACCCCGGCGAGCAGTTCTACATGTTCACCATCATCGCTGCCTGGCTCATCAACGTGGCGGGGCGCCGGTTCACCGAGCCGCAGGAGTACGACGAGCCCAACGCCACCGTGTCCAACATCCTGGCTGAACTCAGAGCCTTCGTAAGTCCAGCAGATTTAAACGATGGCTTTGGAAACGGATCGGTCCAGGTTTGTTTTGTTGGAGATTCGAAGACGTTTTGGACTCTGTGTCCTTCAGGGTGTGAAGGTGGACTTCCCTCCCTCCAAGCTGAAGTCGGGCTCCGGTGAGTTCGTCTGCTTCGTGTTGGACCATCTGGCTGAGGAGGCGCTGAAGAACAGAGGCTTCACTTTCAGACGGTACCGACCGGTCCTGAAATCCACCAAACCTTGGACCTGACAGGATGTGGGAGGGTTTCATTTCCTGTTTCTGTTTCAGGCCAAACTACCCTTCAGAAAACACAGAGGAAGAGTCGGTGATGGACGACGACGCAGAGCTGACGCTCAGCAAGGTGGAGGAGGAGATGATTGTAGGTCTTTTCACCAAATGATTCTGATGAATCAGAACCCAGGACTGCTGCAGGTTCTGTCAGGACGGTCCGACGGGTCTGACTGTGTCTCTGACCTCAGGAGGAAGCCGACGATGAGGAGGAGAACGTGATGGACCTGGAGGCGCTGAAGCTGCGCAACGCTCACGCTGTGAGGCCAGAGAAGAAGAAGAGTTTCCTGTCAGTCTGAACCCGACTTCCTCCCTCTGATCCGGTTCTGTGTTCTGGCAGGAAGCAGAACCGAGCTCCAAGCCGGACGACATCCTGGAGTCCACGGTGGACGCTGCGGAGTGGAGGATGGAGGTGGAGCGGGTTCTGCCGCAGCTCAAGGTCACCATCAGGACCGACCACAAGGTCAGAACCCACCTGAACTCACCTGGGCCGCAGCGGACCCGTTCGGTTCTGATGCTGGTTCTGACTCTGCTCCGCTTCTCCAGGACTGGAGGATCCATCTGGACCAGATGCATCAGCACCGAGACGGGATCAAGACGTCACTCAAAGACACCAAGGTGGGTGGATCCGAACGGACCCAGCAGGTTCTGGACGGACTCACCTTGTTCTAGACGGACCAGCTGGTTCTGGACGGACCAGCTGGTTCTGGACGGACCCAGCGGGTTCTGGACGGACTCACCTGGTTCTGGACAGACCAGCTGGTTCTGGACGGTCCGTTCTGGTCGGACTCACCCCGCCGTGTTCTGTCCTGTGTGTCTGCAGAGCTACCTGGACAAGCTGCAGGAGGACATCGGGAAAACTCTGGAGAAGGTGAGCAGCAGAGAGAAGTACATCAACAACCAGCTGGAGCCGCTGATCCAGGAGTACCGCAACGCTCAGGCCCGGCTCAGCGAGGTGAGACCCGCTGACCCACAAACACAAACCAGAACCCGCCAACGGTACCGGGAGCTGATCGGACTGTCCTCCATCAGGCGAAGGAGCGCTACAGGCAGGCGAGTGTAGGAGTGATGGCGAGGACCAGAGTACTGGCTGAGGTCAGTGAACACACCACCATCAGTCAGTGAACACACCATCATCAGTCAGTGAACACACCACCATCAGTCAGTGAACACACCACCATCAGTCAGTGAACACACTATCATCAGTCAGTGAACACACCATCAGTCAGTGAACACACCACCATCAGTCAGTGAACACACCACCATCAGTCAGTGAACACATCATCAGTCAGTGAACACACCATCATCAGTCAGTGAACACACCACCATCAGTCAGTGAACACACCACCATCAGTCAGTGAACACATCACCATCAGTCAGTGAACACACCACCGTCGGTCAGTGAACACACCACCATGTTTTATCTGTTTCAGATCAGTGAGGAGCTGGACAAGGTGAAGCAGGAGATGGAGGACAAAGGCAGCAGCATGTCTGATGGAGGTGAGGCTCAATCAGCCGTTTCCCTCCCCAACATGTCCGACCCGTTTACTTCCTGTGTCTCTGTGTCTCCGTCTGGTCTGCAGCTCCAGTGGTGAAGATCAAGCAGAGCCTCACCAAGCTGAAGCAGGAAGTGGTGCAGATGGATGTGAGGATCGGCGTGGTGGAGCACACGCTGCTGCAGGCCAAGCTCAAGGAGAAGTCCAACATGACGCGGGACATGCACGCCACCAACATCCCTGATTCCGCCGCCGGAACCTTCACCTAGAACCGCAGAGGTTCTGCTCCTCAGAGCGGCGCCGGGAGTCTGTCTGTCCCAGCAGCTCATCTGTTAAATACGTGTTTTATTGCATAAATGCAGATATTTATTGAATTGCTTTATATATTTGATACTGTTCTTGTTTAAATAAACTGAAACATCTTTTTCTAAATGGCCAATCTAGTTATTACACACTTTGTCCACTAGATGTCACCGTTGCTGCTTCCAAATCAACGTTTCAACCGGATAAAAGCTGAAAACAGGAATAAGAAAATTTCCTCAATATTTCAGCCAGTATTGTATCGAAAAGTCAACCAATACTCCTTAAGACCCCTCAGTTACTGCCACAAGAGGATGCTGACTCCTTCAAAATAAAACACCTGCTTCACCAATGTAAGATGACTTCCTGAAATAGTCGTAGTGGGAGATTTTAAAGCAGTAATAAACATCTTTATTAGAAATGCATTATGTAAAATAAAGTCTACAAAAAATATGTTTTAAATGAGCCCAAACATTTTAAAATTTGTATGTAATGAGAGTTTGAGATTGAGTAGTTTATAAGTAGAAATGTATATTTTTGTCTCAGTGGGAAAACTGATTTAAATATAAATATAAGCATGCAGACTCAAACTGCAATAAGAAAAACAGGAAAATAAGAGAAAGAGGCTGGACAATAGGAGCAAATATGCAACATAAAAAAGTAATTTATTCAGACTTTTTTAAGGACATAAAAGCCTGATTCATTAAAAAAAATATCTATGCTTTTACTCTGAAGGTTCTGACCGGAAGCTGGGTTTGTTTTTCAATCGTGACAACATCTGCTGTTTCCGGTGAGGCGAGGCAGCGACAGCCAGACAGACAGACTTCTGCTCGGTTTGACAAAACCGAAACCTGGTTAAACATCATAAAAACCAAAGGAAACAACAGACCAGACGAAGGGAGGAAGTTTTTACGGAAGGAAGAGGATTTATTTAAACTTCCGGTGAGGAACCGAGAGGAAAAACAAACTGGTGAGTTCAGCAGAGTCCCGTTATTTTCTCTTTTGTCTCGATCTGAGCAGCAAATTCAGCAAAAATACTGAAAAAAATCATGAAAACAATTAAAACACATTTAAATAAGTACTCTTTAATTTTTATTCAACAGAAACCGCCTTCAGTAACTTTAATTACTTTAAAGATATTTTCACAATTATTGATTAAATAGCAGCCTGTTCTTCACCTTTATTTACTATATATATTTTTTTTCCATTGTATTTCCGAAAGGAACATTCTTTTAAACTATATTTGCAAAATAAATACCAAAAAGATTTTATCATGGAAATACTGACAGATGTAGAAAGCAGAAAAAGCATCTTAATTTCATCAGATTGTTTAGAAAAAATCAACAAAGTGGAAATAAATAATTAAAGATTCGTTAATCTACCAGTAAACACATTAACTGGTCAGCCTCCAGAGTTCAAATGGACCCCGGTTCTGGTGGGAACTGGAATGGTTCGGTCCAGCTCTGGGTTTCCTGCTACGCGTTTTCCTCCAGCATCAGCAGCTCCCAGCCTGATGCTGCTGCTGCAAGGCATGCTGGGAAGCTGCGATGGGAACAGTCCAAGGTGAAGCACACAGAGGGGAAAAGAGCTGAACATTAGAAACTACAGAAAATAAATCTGCAGAAAATCAGAGTCTCTGCAGAGTTTAGACTGAATTTGGATCAAATGTTCATGTTTGACTCCTGAATGATGAAGAGTTTAGTCCTGATGCAGGTTTGAACTCCTGACTGTTCTGCTGCTTTGACTCGGTTCTGTTTGCTTTACCAGTCCAAACACAGAGCAGAGGACAGAGCTGCTCTGAAAACAGGAAGCAGGATTCGGTTGGTGAGGAAGTTTAGCGTTTCACAAGGAAGATGAGAAATAATCATTCAGGGTTTTTCCCTCCTGGCTTTTAATAATCAGATGTTATTAAGGCCACAGGAGACAGAAAAAACTCTGAAATTTTGAGAACAATCTCAGATATTTTCTAGAAAAAAATCCAAGAAATTTCTTAGCTTCAAAAGCTAAAAATTATATTAAAAAATAAAAAATGAGGTGTTGAAATTGAATTTTTTGCCAGAAATTTAGTCCTCCTTGTTTTTTCTGTCTATAAAGGCCCTGTTACGCCGTTATTCATCCTGCAGCAGCTTTAAAATGATCACATGAATATTCCATATGTCCTGAATGACATGTTTTTACATTGCACTGGTTTGTTGCTAATCTCTGAGGTATTTAAGCAGGATTCTCAAGGTTCCTTCCCTGTCTGGGAAATCCTGGAAAAGTTTTGAATTTGATTTAGTCAGTTTTCATATTTTGAAGAGTAAAAATCTTTCTGTTTCTAGACTTTACTCCCTACATCTGGTTTCTGAATGACAGATTATGTGAATAATAAAGATGTTTCTGAAGGGAAGTTCCCCAAATAATATTTAGTCTTTTTTCTGTTATAATTTAAAACAGAAATAATGAACACAACAAGCTTTAAACTTAATAAAAACATGGATGACGGAGAACATCTAATCATTATGAAGCAGATTATTAATCAGATCTTTTTCTCTTTTGTCGACAGTTTGGCGTTTTCATATTTCCAGCATCATATTAATGCTGACTTCACACTTTAACCCATTTCAGCTGATTGTTTTCATAATCAGGATCCTAACATGAGCGTCCAGACAGCCGGATTCGTTTTAGAGGTTTTCCCATCAGCGTGTTTAGTTTTTGGTTCAGTTGATCCTCACTGAGGTCCGGATCGCTCTGCAGATATTCACCTCATTTAAACTAAATGAGGTTTTAAAAAGAAGAATGTGTGTTTTAGCAGCTTCCTTCCAGAACCTCTTTGTTCTCGGCCCGTTTTATCTCGTCACTCAGTTGTTCCTTTATCTTTTTTGGTCCGTTAGTTTTCCGGCTCGGTTTGGGCCGATTATCTGAAGACCCTGAATTTTTCTGTTTTTGTTGCCATGTTTGCACGTCTGAAATATGTCCTAATATTATATTTAAAAACCTTCCTGAACCAGTTTGCTGTGACATCACCTTTAACGAAACAACTTCCTGTCCAGGTTGAATTAAATCCAGAGTTGAAATGATTTCTGTTGCTTCGGTTCAGGTCAGAACGGATCAGAACCACTAGAAACCCAGACCAGATAAAGACGCTGAGGATAAAATCTGGATTTAGGACTGGAGATTACCAACCAGATCCTCTTACAATGAAAAATACGAGACACTGCTAAGATATTTATGTTATAAAAATCAGGACTTTTTCATTATTTTTTATTTCATTATATTCAGAACCACGTCTGTCCAGTGACTCTTACTTTAAGGAAACTTTAAACTGGACTGAAGGCCTTGTTCTAAACTAATATATATATATGTGTGTAAAAATTAATTTCAAAATGTAATGGTTTTATTTTAATCCTCATGTTGTCGTCGGGTCATTTTGGAGGTTCGGTCCAGACGACCTCTCTCAGCCGGAGGTTCGGTCTTTGAGGACGTCAGGGCGTCTCTAACTTTGTTGAAGTCAGAAACGAGTTTCTGAGTTTTGTGCTCGGCTGATAAACGGTTAACAGGAAACATGAGCTCAGAGTCTCAGCCTCCTTCTGTCTCTGCTTGTTTTTCTGCAGCTTCGCCGCTGCAGGATGTGACAGAACCGCAGCAGATAAACTTCTTCCTTCTCAGCCTGAAGGTAAAAATAAACTTTTTAAAAATAAACAGCGGTTTAAAAAGCTGGCTTGGAGTAGATTCTGTTAATCCCTGCAGCTCTTAGACTGATCAGATCTGCACAGATTAGCTCATCTGTCTGAGAGGGGAGAAACTTAACAGGAGGAAACTGAAGCAACTCAGTCCAGATCTGGGCTTTAAACTGCCATCATTTCTGCAGAAAATCCATTAATCTGAGCCTGAATGTTCACCTGTTCAAACTGAATCTGAAGATTTTCTGGCTGAGTTTGATCGGTTCTGCTCTCTCTCACCGCTGGGCGTCGGGTTTCTGCTGTTTCACAGATCAACAGACGAGCCGCAGGACAAACATGGCTCTGTTCTTCTCTGGAGCCGTCACCAGTACGTCACACACACACACACACACACACACACACACACACACACACACACACACACACACACACATCCAACCTCTCTCAGGCGTGTTGGTGGGTTAAATTCAAGCCCAGCCTCCATTACCTGAGGTGCTGCCACCACCGTGCTTTACAGTGAGAGTTTTATTTGTAATTAACATTTTAATTCTGCTAAAATCCCTAAAATCCACCATTTATTGCAGACAGAAGAAAATAAAATGAGTGAAATTTGTTGTGAATCCCATAATCCTTCCTCCATTGTGGTAAATTGGTAGAAAATGGTCCTTTGGCAGAATTTGTAGCTGATTAAAGATGGAGGGATATAAATCATCTGAAAACGGTCTGAATGTGATCACAGAAACTAACAGGCATGTTCAGATTTTCACTCAGCTGTATCTATATGGAGTTATTATTCTTCTGAAGAGAGAAAATGGATCTAAATCTGCCTGTGAATGAAGCTCCTTAACCTGGTTTGATCTGATTCTGCTGGTCGTTTCTATAGGAATGTTTTTCTTCCCACCATCACCAGGTGCTTAACCAGAGCAGGCGGCTCAGAGTTGGTGCTAAATTAACTGTCAGTGGCTCTGCTGTGAGGAAATGCTCAGAGTTTAAACCTGGACTCTGTGTCTCTGAGGAATGTTCGGCTGATAAAAACTCGTCTTTATTTAGAAACCTGCCGGTTCCTGAACGTAACCGAACCTCTTCTGTTGTTCAGGTTCCCCGATAAAACGGCGTCTGCGTGGGAATCACTCCTGCCACAGGTAAACCAGTTTCCTAAAAACAGTCCTGACTTTATCTGGACGATAAACGTCCCTGGAGTTACTGAGAGTTACTGAGTTGTTTTGGGACCATTTTCTAGTTATATAATGCAAGAACATTCACAACTTTAAGTTCTAACAAACATTTAGGACCAGAACTGGAAACATCCTAAATAAACAAAGCAACAAATAAAATAAATTATAAAGTCTCTGTAAAGCAGCGAGCTGAGCCCAAATCATCAGACTGAAACTTTTACCATCCAGTTTTTGTTTGAGAGAAAAACAATAAATCTGTGCTTGTTGCGACAGACCTGTGAATATTTAAACGTTGGCAGTAAAACAACTTTCTGAGCCCAGAAGGAAAACAATGTCAAAGTGTTTAATCAGACTGAAACATGAAGGAATAAAAATCTGACTTTATATTTAATACAACAAATTAAACTCCAGACGTTTCGTCCCCCTGCAGCCCGGACGTGTCCCTCCTGTCCCCCGACTCGTCGTACGTCTGCTACCCGTCGGCGGACGCCGGCGCCCCCTGCTGCTGCCGCCGCTCGCCGCGCCTCCTCACCAACGGTTACTATGACGTCACAGAGGACAGCTTCTGCCTGGACGAGGACGGAAACGTGTCTCTGACCGACTGCAGGACCAGCGTGTCCTACAAGGAGAACCTGGTCAGGTGAGGTGTGACATCATCACACAGGTGAGAACAGGTGGGCTGGTTCCTGCCCTGCAGCAGCCAATCACAGCGCGGCTCTCCGCCTCGTCAGGCGGGTTTCACTCAGCTGTAAATTCTTCCTCAGTGACTTCAGCGGCGCCGCGGTGATGTCACCGATGGCTGTTGCTAGGAGACCGTCAGTGTTATGGGATGTTTGTGGTTCTGTGTCAGAGCTGATTAAAAGCTGCAGCAGGTCTCAGGTCAGAGTACTGCCCCCTGCTGGCGGGTTTAGAGTTCTGGTGCTGAGTCGGTTGGTTTTGTGAAACTCGTTTTGTTTCGTGTTTCTTTCATTTCAAATAATTTCAAATGTTGTTTTTGTTTTGTTACTTTTATCCTTTTTTATTTTCTGTTACTTTAAAGATATTTTGCTGTGACTCTGAACCATATTTGGGTTTTTATTGAAGATATACATCTGTAACATTATTCAGTAAATTTTTGCTAACTGCTAAACTGAAAACCATTTAGTTTTTAATCTGTGTGAATTTCTCATAAATTTAAAGTTGATTTGTGTTTTTTTACCCTTCTCAGCCTGTTTGAACCTTTTTCTTCTTCTCTTTGATTTTTTGCTGCTAACCTGGGCACATTTTTAGTCTCTTTAGTTATTTTTGGTGACTTTTAGTCATTCTGAATCATTTTTAATATTTTTTCCAGTTTATTCTGTGGTTTTGATGCCCAGCGGTCATTTTAACCTCTCTGGGGTTTCTAGTTAAGTTGATCTAGATAAGTTGATCTAAATAAGTTGATCTAGATAAGTTGATCTAGATAAGTTGATCTAGATAAGTTGTTGAGGATTCCTGCATCAAGACGTTCTTTTTATTTGCCACCTTGTGGCCACTTTATCATCCTCTTCATCATTTTTGAAAGTTTTTTTTGTCTCTTGCTGCAGCTTTTTTCATCCTTTTGGAGGATTTCTCTCTCAGCTTTTTGGAAAACTCTGGGATTTAGGAATTTTCCAGGTCTGGAAAACTGTTGGCATTAATCAGTTGTGTTCTTCGTTCCTCTCTGATGGTTATAGATGTGTAGAAACTCCTCTGTTGGATCATTTTCCTGACAGCTGTTGACCTCCAGGCGTTGCCTAGCAACAGAGCGGTGACCTCGGCGTCTCTTTGCGTCCTCAGAGTTTTCCGGCGCAGGCGGAAACCTCGCAGCGCTCTGGTTTCCCTGCTGAGCGGCGTTTCAGAGAGCTGCCAGTCATGGCTGGACCAGAAGGTGTTCAGAGGCATGCTGGGAACCGGCCTCAGACAGAACCCGGACCCGGACCTGGACCCTGACCTGGACCTGGACCTGGACTGGCCCCGGGTTGGCCAGCAGGGGGCGTCTCCGTGTCGATTGGACGAGTCTCTGTGGGCGGGGCTAAACGCCGATCTGGACGACGGACGAAGCTTCACCTACGGTGAGTCTGCAGAACGGCTCGGTCCAACGCTGCCATCATGAGCAGCTGAGGTCACATGACTCTACTTCCTGGTCCAGATCACACCGAAGCCCCGCCTCCTCCAGACAAAGAAGCCCCGCCTCCTCCTGAAGAATTAGCCCCGCCTCCTGGGAAACTGCTGATCCAGGAGGAAATCTGCTCTGAGATCAGTCAGTCCACGCAGCGCTTCACCCAATCGCTGAGCGGCCTCTCTGAAGTCCCGCCCCCTCCGGCCTTCTACAGCTGCTGCCAGGCGCCACCAGAACCTCCAGGTGAGCCGGGAACACCTGGGCCGCATGTGTGACCCAAACCGTCTGGTTCTGACTCTCTGAGAGGCTCAGGTTCATGAAACTTCGCTTTTATTTCAGGGCTGACGATGAAGGCTCTCCTCATCCTCATCTTCAGCATCTTCATCATCAGCGTTCTCTACTCAGGGTGAGACGGTGAACCAGTTGAAGCAGTTGAACCAGTTAAACCAGTTAAACTAGTTGAACCAGTTGAACCAGTTAAACTAGTTAAACCAGTTAAACCAGTTAAACTAGTTAAACCAGTTGAACCAGTTAAACCAGTTAAACTAGTTAAACCAGTTGAACCAGTTTGTTTTATTATTCATGATGATGATGATGTTATTGTTATGTTATGATGATATTCCAGATGATGAAGATGTTTCTTCCTTCCTGCAGCTCCTGCTGGTGGAGCGCCATGGTAACGGCCGCCATGTTGGCGACGATCTCAGCCGTGATGTGTGAGTATGACTGGGCTGCTGCGGTTCTGAGATCCGGGTCCGAGTTCTGGTCCTGGTTCTGCTCCAGGTCCAGTTCACAGAACAGATTCAATGTTTTTACATCGTTTTCCAAACTCCCATTAAAATAGATTCAGAAACATAAAATAAATGAATAACATCATGTAAAATAAGATTTTTACATTTAATTTAAGAAAATTTAATTAAATATTTAATATTCTAATCAAAGTAAAAATTACAATAAACATTGAAAATACGTAAAAATAAATATATCAAAAATAATTTAAAAATGTAATAACAATATTATGAGATTTAATATAGAATACAAAAAACTAACGTTTTTAAAAGTTTAAATAATGTGGATTAAAATTTAAACAAAATAAAATGTTTTCAAATAATAGAAAAGCAAATTAATAGTAAATAAATACAAACATGAACAAATTAAGTCAAATAAAATTAAATAAAAATCTAAATATTATATAAATGTAATTTAAAAAAAAGTAAAACTATAAACATTAAGAATAATTAGAGTTTATTGTTTAGAATTAGATTTTTTTTAATGATGATATTTGATTTTCTGAGTAATAATTAATTTTTGGAAAACAAAACAAAATAAAACTAAATTTTTTAAATTCTCTTAGATACAGAATAAGAAATAGACAAATGAATTTACAGTAAAATAAGAGAGGCTTTAATGCTTCTTATTGTTAAATGAAATGTTTTGTTTCCATATTTCAGTCGTGACAAAGTCGGATCCGATGGGCGAGTGGAGGAGAGCGAAGACGGAGGTGAGTCCGAAACGATCTGAGCGGATCGTCGGTGAGCTGCAGAGAAAACGACTAACTTTCAATTTCTGTCCCTCAGGACATCACATCCAGGAACGAGTAGGAACAGAACCGGAACCGGAACCAGAACCAGAACTTCTGACAGGATTCTGTAGAAACCTTCCTGCTAGTTTTTCCCTCAGTGTTTGAATTCAGCTGGACGAAAAGGTGAAACTGGTTCTGAGCTCTGGAAGCTTTTAAAGCAAACCAGGTTTGAATTCACAGAAAGAGAAAAAGTCATGGATGAGTCATCCACCTCAGGAATCAATAATCAATCAATAATCAGATTTTTACCAGCAGATAAAGAATAAAAACTGCTGCTGGTTTTAAAATGGCTGAAGGAGCTCAGAGTCACAGTGAGAACCGTTCGGTTAGCTTAGCATCGCAGGGAGCTGCAAAGCTTCACATCATGTTTAAAATATGCAGAGAAAATCTTCAACTGGGAGAAAAAGAGACTAAAAGTTTTTAATCAAGTTCAGGTGTTTATTTCTAAATGCACAAAAATCACCTGGAATCCTGCAGAAGATTTAATATTTCATTTACAGACGAGGAGTGATGATTCATTAACATTTATTTATCAAACAGATAAATAAATAAACCACAGCGCATGAGAGCAATAATAATAAAGTATTCTGTTATCGTAAAGTTAAATCCAGGAAACTTAAAATCCTGAAAAATATAAATATTAAAAAAGACCTGCTACAAAATTCTCAGAACTTAAATTTCAGATGAATCTGTTTGGTTCAGAAATTACATTTAAAACTGAGGTCAGGTCCTCACTGCTTGGAAAAGCTTTTATTTTGAAAGGATTCATCTCTCTGTATGGAGCCCCTGCAGTGCTTTTAATTTATCATCTCTGAGTTAAAAAAGATGCAAGTTAATAAATAAAATTGACCACATGATAAGCTATAAGTGAGAACAAGGCATTTTAAAAATAAATATTAAAACTAACATAAATCAATTAAAATACAGCCAAATCATAAAGCATAAAAATCTGATAAATGAACAGATTTTCTCCATAAATTATTATTGCTTTAAATATGATATAATTTAGTGCAAAATTCAATTTTGATAAAGAAAACAATTCTAATTAAATTGTGATATATTTAATCCTTTTTTGTGACGTTTCCCCCTTTTGCACAAACTTTTATTTTGAAAAGCATCTTTTTATATGGAGGTCCAGACGTTTTTTTGTTGTTGTTGTTTTTATTTTTGCGTTAATATATTTTATCCTTTTCAGACAGGTTAATATGAATAAAAACTTGATGTTTATGAAATGTTTAGATATTAAAAAATTGAATAAAAGTTTAATTCTTATTATTAACAAGTAGGACGTAATAAATCCTTTAAAAAAATAATCCAAGCTGCTCCAAAGTTCAGCTGTAAAAAAGCGAGAAAAAGGATTTCAGCAGATAATTTTAAGAAAAAATAATGTTATTTACTTCTCATGTATATTTATTCCCATGTGAAAGTTTTCACTTTGTCACATTTTTTTATTTTGAAAGGGACTTGCCTCTGTATGGAGCCCTTGAAGTGCTTTTATTTCTCTCAAACTAAAAATAGTCTCACACTTCAGCGGCTCCATGTTGATGATATTATTGTGAGGAATCGCAGAGACCAAGTAATGTAACCTGTACTGTAAGACTTTCTGAACATTTATCAGAGCTGAGCTTCGGTTTCAGGCTAAAGCAGAGCCGACGTTCTGCAGGGAACCGTCTGGAAGGTCGTGATGCGTTCAGGGCTTGCAAAATTAAAAATCTTCCCACAGCAATCCTTCTAATCGTGCTGTGGTCCGAAGAGCCGACGGAAACGTTTTTATCAAAGTGCCAAATTTTTTATCCAGAAACAAAACGATGATATTTTTGATACGACAGCGCTCTGCTTTACTTTGTTCTGGAAGCTTCCTGTTTATTACTGATAAACATGTTGTCCTTCAGCTCTTTTTGCTCTGTGTTTTTATTAGAGAGACCAAAACTCTGCTGCCCTCTGCTGGTTGGAACCAGTCAGTGCAGCTTAGGAACTTGTGTGGTTTTTAAAAATCACGTTTAAGTGAAATTTGTGGAAGTTTTTTTTTTACTTTCTTAGCTTTAGATCTGTGTGAAGCACTTAACCTCACACTCCTCATGTCCTACTGTTTGTATTTTGATTGAATGCACTTGGAAATGTGACGCTGTGCTTGTGATAGCACTTGTTTTTTAGAAACAGTCTGGCAGCTCAGCAGGAGTTAAATATTAAATGTGAAACAAAAGAAAACTGTGGAGTTTAAATTAAATTTGTCTGAATCTGAAAAGATTTCCCATAAAATGAGATTTTTAGGGATCAACTCACACATTTCATGGGCGTCTTTGGATATTTGACCACTTGGTGGCGCTGTGACGTTAGATTTAATTTCCTGTCTCCTGCCTGTTGTCAGACTGTTTTATTTGAAGTGACTGTTTATTATGAAGCTATTAAACCACATTAAAGACAATCTGTGGTTCTGTGTTTGTTTAAAAAAAGGTCCAGTTTTTGTGTCCAACTTCTTTTAAATCTGTGACCTTTGACCTTGGGCCCTGAAGGCAACACAAAGACAGAGATGATTCCACCAACTCTCTAAAACAAAGAAATCAGAGAAACGATCGAGTCATTTTATTAAGAAGTGACGTAAAAACTTTAACTTTGACTCAACTTTCTAAACAAAACAGAATATTTATTTAGTTCATCATCACTGAGTCACAATAAACCAGAAAACAGGAAGTTTTTAACAGTGCAGATTTTTCCATAAACTTTTCTCCATCATGTGTAACCAGTCAGTTCTCCTCAGAACCTGCAGCTCCGAACCGAACCGGGTCGGATGAGAACCTGCCGCTTTGAGTCAAACTGAGGATGAAGAGCAGCAGCTCTGAGGAGGAAGATGCTGCTGCTTTTAATGTCTGGAGCATCACAGTGGATTTAAAACTCATCCTGTCAAATGTGATATTTTAAAGAATCGTTCCTGTAATCTGCTGAGTCGTCTCCATCTGCGGTTCTCCAGGCTCTCTGGAGCAGGTTTCCTTTGGACCAGTTAAAGGAACTTAGGATTCAAAATCCACTGTCAGCCCTTAAATACCTGCAGTTTACTTGGCATCTTCAGGAGTGCAGAAAAAGTTCCGCTTAGTTTCTCCTGGTGCTGCATAGATACCTTCATATTCTGTCTGGGTCAAATGTTTCAATCCAATCAGTTTTCTCGGCTCCATTTTATGTTTTTTTAACTATTACATCACAGTATTTGCTGTGAAGCTGCTCAACATCACAGACTTCCAGCCAGCCAATTTTCAGGTCAAAAGTCAAACAATGCTCATAATTACCTCTCCTCACTCGCCACCAGGGGGCGTGTGTCTGAGATAGTTTTAACCCTTAGCGATGAAAAACATCACAGTCAGACAGCGGGGAAACGGGCCCTTGTCCTGTCAGACCCAAAACCACACACACAGAAATAAGTCTCGTAAAAGCGTGACCCCTGCCAGACCACCGGGAAAAAACTCCTTTAAGTGGGACAGTAAAAACAGGGCTGTGATGTAAGCGCTAACCAGGCAAAAAGGAAAACTCAACAGCAGTAGCTTTATTCTCTTAAAGCATTTCTGCCAAAATATAGCAGAAATTTAAAAATGTACAGAAAAATGTCACAATTTGCACAGAAACAAACATGGCAGCTAGAGGGGCAGTTTGATGATCCGGACAGTTTCAGGACTTCCTGTCGCTCTGATCCGTCCAGCAGGAAGCGTCAGCGCCACTGATGGCCGACGGCTGGTCTGAAACTTCTGATGACAGACGCAGCGTCTGCTGACGGTCGTCACAGTAACGCAGCGGGGAAGCATTTGTCCCCGGCGTGCATGGCGACGTGCCTCCTCAGGTGGCCGGCGGAGGTGAAGGCCTTGCCGCAGACGGAGCAGCGGAACTGGCCGCAGTCCGTGTGGACAGCCATGTGGACCTTCAGCGAGCCGGACTGGGCGAAGCGCTTCCCACAGTGGACGCAGCCGTAACGTTTCTCCCCCGTGTGGACGCTCTGGTGGCGCTTCAGGTTGCTGGAGTCGGAGAAGCGTTTCCCGCAAAGCGCGCAGACGTACGGCTTCTCGCCCGTGTGAACCCGCATGTGGGTCTTCAGGTTCTTCAGGCAGGCCAGGCTTTTCCCGCAGAAGCTGCAGGCGAACGACTTCCCTGCGGGGTCGGCGGCGCGGCTCTGCTGCCGAAAGCCGACTCTCTGTGGCGCCCCCTGCTGCTGCCGCTGCCCCGCTGCAGACAGACTCGCCTCATGGTGGCTGAAGCTGCTTCCTGAATCGGCTGAAGCGTTCCTGCTGGGAACAAACCCGGAGGAGCCGCCGGGTTCTGCTGCTGCAGCGTGGGAGGCTTGCTGCAGCATCATGGAGTCGTAGCCACTTGGTTCTGGCCTCTGATTGGTCTGCTGGGTGGAGGTGGAGCTCACCTCCGCGCTGGTCCAAGAGACGCCGCCATCTGCACCGCTCTCTTCCTGTTTGACCAGCGAGGACGAAGCTTCTGCCTCGGGCTGATCCTCAGAACCGCCACAGAACCGACCTGGAGGCGAAACCAGACTCAGTCCGCCTGCAGGTTAACAACGCACCGGCCAACAGGAAGGCTAACAGGAAGGCTTACCATGAGGGTCGGACTGGGACCAGGACTCTTCCTCCTCATCCTCATCCTCCACCTTGATCACCACTGTGGTCTCGGCTGCATCCGCCTGGAAATTGAATCCATTTCGTAAATTGGTTTCTTCTGCTGAGTATTCGTCACCCCATCGATGTAAACATAATCACAATACTTTGACCTTTTTGAATTCTGCACCTAAAAATTAACCAAAGTATGAAAAAACTAGAACAACTAATATAACTAATGAAAACTAAACTAAAACTAAACAGTATTTAAATAATTAAAACTGAATTAAACAGTCACAGTTAAATAAAGCTGCGGCTACAGCGGCGGCGGCTGCGGCTCACCGTCTGTCCTGTAGCTTCTGGTTCTGGTGGTGGGCGGGTCTCTCTGCACTGAGAAGTCTGCTGATTGGGCAGCAAGCACAGCTCTGCTGCAACTTCTGCAGAAGCAAAAACAATGATTGGATTTTGAGCTCAGGTCTGTACTTTGACTAGGCCACTGAAAAACACTGGTACTTATTCTCCAAGTTCTTCTTGGTGCATCTTGGAAGTGGTTTAAATTAAAGTTTAAAAAAATATTATAGGCTTGATGAAATATGAATTTCTGCCATTTAGTCTTTATTAAATTTGAAAATATGAATTTCTGACTATATATCAAATGCCGGTGTTTATTAAATTTTAATTTCTGTTGGTCGGTTTTCAGAATATTTCCAGAAAAGCTTCATAGTTCTCAAATTTCAGAGAGCCATTAGTTACAATTCTGACAAACTGTTGAACTTTCAGTAAATATTTTTCTAACTGAAGTTGAGTGTCTGATTTTATCCGGGTTAAAATCTACAGAGTATTCCCATTAACTTCAACATCACCAGCTTGTTATACATGTCAGTCATGTGATCCTGGTCACATGACGCATTCAGCCAACCACTGGGAGGACTGGTGATCCAGAGCTGCTCCAGGTTTGTTGCTTTTCTACTTTAAGACTCACTATAAAAACATGATTTAGATTTATTTTCTACCAGCTGGAGACAGGAAGTCTGTCATGAACTGAACTGTGAAGAAATAGTTACTGATTTTAGCTTGCTAGTGTTTGTAGCTAATGCTAACTGGGTTAGCCTGCCATTAGCAGCTAACAGTTCAGCTTCTTCACAACTCGTCCAATGCACATTCATGGATATAACGGCAAGTCAAGTGTTTGATTTTCTGTGTACAAAAGAACCATTGTTAAGATGCTAACTAGCAGTGTGATGATATTTAACTAGTCCTGTTTCTGTAATGCAGGTCAGGTGGTGAACTACTGGAACCAGCAGAACCTCCAAACTGGTCTGGTAGGAGGCCGATACGGTCTGAGCTCTTTCTCCCTCCACACAAACAAACAAACAAACAAACAAACCCCACTAATGGTTTTTGTTTAACTTGTTTTATTCTGGACAATTTTCCTCATAGTTTGGACAGATTAATTAATCTCTTTGGTAACTGGTCCGTTTATTAGTGGAGGAATTATTGATCTTGTTGTGACCGAATCTTTGCGTTTGAACAAACCATGTGCAGATTAGTTTTTAAATTTAAAAATGGGAATATTCTTGACTTTTGAACCTTTTGGAAAATTTGAGTTTCGAAAATGAACATCTTTTACTTTTAAAACTCAAATGCCCAGTTTTTTTCTAGAATATATGAGATCAGATTTCGACTTTTTATTATTATTATTAAATATCTTAAAGATTTCCGGAAAAAAAATCTAGAATAGCCTTTTAGCGCCGTCATAGATGAACCTACGGTAGCGGAATAACCATTTAGTCCAAATCAGACGCCAACTTCAACCTCGCTTAATAGATGTGAATTTTAAACCTTTGGATAGTTTCTGTTAGCATGAAGTAAATGTGGATCTTAAAGGTGTTTAATTGATAAAGGTCACCTGTCAGAGTCACGCTCCTCCTAGGCTCGTGGACTCGCTGGTTGGCGCGCGGGCGGCCGCTAGCGGCGTACAGCAGCGCGGCGCCGCTTCCGCTCGCGGCGGCTCTGAACGCGGCAGACCGCGCCGCCCGGAGCTCCAGGAGCCGCAGTTTCCTCCGCAGAACCTCGTTCTCTTTGCGGCTCCGGCTAATCTCCAGCTGCAGCACCGCGTAGCCGTTGTCCACCAGCTCGCAGATCTCCGCCACCGCTGTGTTGGCCAGAACCTCCATGATGGAGGCGAGCTGGGAGTGAAACGTGGCGGATGGAGACATTTTCCTGCTGGGCCAACCGGAACCGCTCAGAGCTAGTTAGAACCAACAGAACCTTAGGAGAACCTCTGGAGAACCTCTGTTTACCTGCCTGGGGCCTCCACACCGAAAGGAACGGAAGCAATACTCAGTACGCATGCGCGAAGTCACGTGTTCACACATTCCAGGGATAGAAAACCCGGAGTCACCAAAATAAAAGCCTGTGTTTGACCTGAAGCTTACAGTTGGTCACTCAGAGTAAAACATTCAGGGATTTAGAAGTTCAGGAAATATAATTTTGGAACTTTTATATGAAAAAATAGTTTTTGTTGAACAATTAAAGAAAAAAAAAACATGCAAGGGTTTTATTTTTTTTAAGTATTACTCTTATGTGCCTTGACTGTTTATAAAATCCCTTAGCAGCTTTAGTCATTGTACAATGACAATAAATCTAATCTAGTATGTTTACAGACATTTTAACCTCCCAAATAGCTTGTTTACTGTTAATATCATTTTGTATTCAGAATGAATTGTAGCACCTCGGAGTCTGACTGCTTTAGTTTGTGTCCTGGTTGTGTATTTCATCCTTTAGGATCATCCTGGTAGTGAGGAATTCATCCTGACTGGGCCAGACTTCAGAATGGCCTTTAGGGCAGCAGCCCAGGGCTTCAGTCATTGGGGCACCCCAAAGACTTTATTATTATTTGTTTTAATGAAAAAAATTGGCATTTTTATAAATATAAACAATACACAAGTATACAAAAATTAAGACATTTTGTTTTAACAAAATGGAGGTACTGCTCAGAGGATGTATGTAACCTATAATGCATCAATTCATTATTAAAACTACCTATAATATAGTTTGCTTTTTTTCTGTAGTGGATAGGGAACCAAAATGTTTCTAGATAAGTTTGGTGAACTTAAGGTTCCAAATCCAGGAGCAGAACATCTGTGGACTCACCTGAATAAGTTTTTGGACAAGAACCTGAAAGACTGTGAAGGATTTTAAGAACATTTCCAAGTAGAGTGAAAAAAAACTGTAAAGATGTCAGAATCAAATGAAGCCTGGATCTAAACTGAAATAAAAACTGATTAAAACACAGGAGACAGGATGCGTATAAAATGTCATTGTTTTAGTATGTCAGGAACAAAACATTTTAAAAGCAGTAGTTTATAGGAGCCTCCAGTGGTCAGGAGTGGTACTGCATGATGGTAACTATTAGTCTGTAGGAAAGTATTAGTTTTATAACAAAGTATTAGGACCAGGCTAAGAGATTTTTTTAAATAAACAAAAATACAATAATATAAGAATAAAGATGCCATATTACCAGATAAATGTTGTAAAATTACAAGAAAAGTCGTTTTAATGAGAGAAAAGCTTTGATGGTTAAGATCTGATGTGACCAGATCAGTCGACTTCTTTATTCAAAACAGACTCAGAATTATTTCAAAGTCCTGATATTGATCATGTGATGCAGATGTCTTAAAGGGATCATGTTTGCAGAATCCACTTTTTGTACTTTGGGGAAAAAATCCATTTAGGAGTTCTCAGAAAATTACTGCTTTGTTCTCCTAATTAAGAAAAACAAAATTATTGGTCTGGTCCTAATAATCTTTTATTAGGATATTAAGGGACACCATTCATCTCAATCCCACCAGAAGGACAAAAACTCCTTCAAACTTCTGCAGCTCCAGAATAAAAGAGGAAATAAAAAGTTTCATCTTCGTCTTTTTCTCAGAACATAAATACCTGGAATGTCTGAAATCCTTAAGCTTCCTGGATCAGTTATCATTTCCTCCTTCTCTAATCTGTTTGTTTCCATCTCAAAAAGTTCATAATTTTTACATTATTTAGAAAAATGCTACAGAGCTTCATTAAAACCTGAAGTGGTTTTACACAAACATGCAGAAAGCTACGGAACCGTTTTACTGCCAGAGCTGGAAATAAACTCAGGAGTAGAGTCTCATCTTAATGAGTTTCTCGTTTAATGATGAAGTTTCTCGCTATAAGGACATAAAACTTCTCATTAAAACAAGAAAGTTTTTCATTATGAGACTTTTATCTGTTTCCATCTCTAACAAGAAACTGATTTAAACTGAGAGTTTGGGTTTTAAAGCTAATTAACTAGATGAAACTCATCTCTTCATAACAAACTCATTAATCTGTGTTTTATATCATTAAAATGAGTTTCTCATAACGAGACAAGTTTTATACCTAGTTTTAGATAAAATTATGTTCCTGACTTCTTAAAACATAAAGGAGTTTCCTCTCATTGTTTCAACGTTTCTCCTACACTGAAAAAAAAGACAGATGATGCAACTTTTAAAAAATGTAATTTGTTACAAGTAGAGGTGTGCTGATCGATCGGCCACTGATCATAACCGGCCGATTTCTGTGAAAAAGTATATGATCGGTGATCGCCGATCACGGTCTGTTGTCACCGATCACAAACCGATCACAGTATCTCACATGGCAGCCGGTGCAGCTGGTCTCCTCTTTCCTTCACTCTGCAAAGCGCAGCAACAAATCCTAAGCAAATGGTGAAGAACTATAAAGCTCAGAGCGAATGGGGGAAGTTTGCGTGTTGCGACGGAGAAATACCTCAGGGGTGAAGCAGTCAGATGCATCAACAATGTGTGACATTTAAAAAACAAGCACTTGACTTAGTTTGGCTACATCGAGGCTCACTGCAGGAACAAGGACATCCGGAGCGACCAGGTAAAGGGCAAAGCAGCGCACAGCTACCAACACTCACCCAGAAGAGCATGATGGTCAGAAAGCTAAACAATTAACCTGAGAAATAATTTAAGTCTTCAAGCTGCGGTGTAAGACGCTGGTTCTGCTCTCGCTCTTGGACCGCTGCTACTGGTGGTAATGTTTCACAGACGGAGCCGCTCAGCCTCCACCTGACAGCTGCTTAAAGCTGCAGCAGGGAACTTAAACAAAACAGATTTTAGATAAGTAATAAAACTTTCGATATGTCCTAACGTAAAACAGATAATCTCTGGAAAAAATTAATCGATCTCCTCCGCCTCCTCCCTGCAGAATTACTCCGCTCGGTCAGAAACCAATCGGAACCAGCATTCCTCAGCTAGCCAATCAGAACCAGCATTCCTCAGCTAGCCAATCAGAACCAGCATTCCTCAGCTAGCCAATCAGAACCAGCATTACTTAGCCATGTTAAGGAAGCTTGGATTTCGTATCAGGATTGTTTTTGATGCAACCTGCATTTGACTTTGATTGAATGTTTCCTTTATTACTTGACATTATTTGATAACCAGATTTATTTGACTCATGTATAATTTATGGCACTGAGAGCCTTACTGTTAAATTTTATTTTACTGATCGCAGGTTTATCAGTTGTCCTTTTGCCTGACAGCTGTTGTATTTTCCATGTTTTATGTCTATATTAGGTGAATTTATTGCCAGATAATTTTTCCATTTTGCCAGATCTATTAGTATCATTTATACTTAAAGCGAGAAATTAACAGCCAATCCAGATGATCGGCAGTGATCAGAGATCAGAACAGAAAAACCAGAACGGAGCATCCCCAGTTACAAGTAATCATTAAGTTTATTAAGTAGTCATGTTAATATATCTAATGCTAATAAATTAAGTTTGACAGACATTCGAATACATGTGACAAATGAACTACATTTTCTAAGTTGGAGCTCCAATCTCTCTCTCTCTCTTTTTCTTTCACTGCAAAAATCCACAGTCGTGTTGAGATGGTTTAAAATTACAACCTCTTATTTTGGTTTTAAAGAAATATAAATCTGATTATGAGTTGTTTTAAACCTTAAAGAGAAACCGCTCCTGAATTAACTTACAACCTCTGGCCGCTTCGCTAGAAAACAAAGGATTAAAGAGTGGAACAAAGTTCTGGAGCGACCCGTTTGGGCCCAGTTCAGCCTGCTTAGGCTCAGTTGTTGGGCCCAGTTGGGCTCAGTTGCTGGGCCCAGTTGGGACCCGGTTCAGGCCGCTTGGGCCCAGTCGTTGGGCCCGTTTGGACCCAGTTGTTGGGGTGGCACTTCTTCATGTGCAGCTTGAGGCTGTACTTGACGATGAAGCTGCGGGAGCAGAGCGAGCAGCCGTACGGTCTCTCCCCCGTGTGAACGTTCAGGTGCGACCTCAGGTGGGCCGACTGCGTGAACTTCTTGCCGCACTGGTCGCAGGCGAACGGCCGCTCGCCCGTGTGGATGCGGGTGTGGACCTCCAGGTTCTGCGCCGTGGCGTAGGTCTTGTTGCAGATGGAGCAGACGAAGCGCTTCCTGTGGGCGTCCTCGTCCGGATCCGCAGCGGAGAGCTGCTGGCCCGGCGAGGATCCGTACAGCCCGAAGTTCAGCATGCCGCCGCCGCCGTTTTCAAACTCGAAGGCTGCGGCGCTGTGGTCGTCGGCTCCGCCGGCGATGCCGACCAGCTTCAGGCTGAACACGTCGCCCTCCAGGTTCTCACTGGGGCAGAACTGGGCGAACGCCATGGAGCCTTTGGGCTGTTTGGACCAGGACGGGTCCAGGTTCAGGTCCAGGTCGGCCCGGTTGGACGGGGACTGGGCCTCCATCAGGGTGCCGCTGCTGAAGAACAGCTGCCTGCTGGGGCCCGGCGGCCCCAGGGAGCAGTCCTGGACCAGCTGGACGTCCGGGTAGGAGCAGGCCGAGGCGTCCGCCTTCACCTGGACGTCCTCCAGCGCCGAGCCGCCCGGGTCGCTGCAGGGCGAGTCCAGGCTGTAGACCGGGACATTCTGCTGTGACCCGGCCGACAGTTTGGAAGACTTCAGCGCCAACAGGTCGCCATCTTCGTACGGCCGACTGCGACGCCGCCGCCTGCGGACGGACCGAGCCGAGGGGGAGGCTTCGCTGGCGGCTGCCGCTCCGGCATCATGGCGCCTCCGTTCTCCTGGACAGAGAGGAAAAACTCTGCAGTGTTACGGATCATCCACAGATTTAAAGGGCCAGTACAATGCGTTTTAAATGCAAATAGTGCCATTTTATAGCATAATCAGGTAACTGTTACCTTCAGCTGTCATGCTATAAAGAAATCTGACTTTGTATTTTAACGCCTTGAATTTGGGCCTCTGTCTCTTTAAAAGTTTTCTTCCTCTTTCTGAAATTCCTTCCAGAAAATCATCACAACATGGCTCCTCTATTAACACTTTAATAATGTGAAATGAAGCTGACTTAAGTAGTTAAAACCAAATAATAATGTTCCTGACTATGAAATCTCAACAGTCTGCAGAATGGGCAACAGAGTATGATGGAGCAGTTTCAAGTTTTGTCTTCATAGCTGGTTAAAATAAAACAGCTTGTGGTGAAGTGAACTAGTTTGGCATCATTTGGAAATGAAAAACAAAATATCAATCAATAATTATCAATATGGGCTGATATGAAATGTTCGTGTCGCGCAGCAGCAGAAAGATTCTCCGCTCACCGTCGTCGATGCCGTCGAACCCGTCCAAGTCTTCGTCTTTAATCAGAACCACATCCGGAACCTGGAGGAAGCCACAAAATGTCTAATAAGAGCAGAAGCAGCCATGCAGGATATCAGCTTATTTCTCCATTTACACTCAGAACAAGTCAAAGAGCTGCAGTTGTTTTTAATCACTTCATCCGTTAAAGATTGGTTCCCCCAGATTAGGAGCTAATTAACTTCACAAAGCCGCTTTCAGCCTGCAGCATCGACCCAGAGAGGAAATAATCAGCAGCTTCATCTCACCAACATGTCTGCCAGTACAGAAGCCTTGAACCGCCAGAGCTGGGAATAAATTCAGGAGCAGGGTCTTGTTAAAATGAGAAAGTTTTCTGGTTAGAACCAGAAAACTTTCTCATTTTAACAAGATATAGAAAAAAAAAGTTCCTCTGACGGATTACATCTTCCCTCTGACTCTCCGTTTTCTTCCAGACGGCACTCAAACGCCCCGCGAGGTGTTGCAGTTTCACGTTACGACCTTTCTCGTTTAAACGAGAATATGCTTGGGTTTTAATGAGATATAAATCTCGTTATAACGAGAGTCTCCGGTTTTAACGAGATTCTGCTGCTGTATTTACGTCCTGGCTGTGGCAGTTAAACACCTCTGTATGCATGAGGACAGTTATCTTCAGCCTTCAAAGCTGCCTCCAAACGCCGCGTCATTATGATGAATATCCATTAAAACCGAATGCTGGCCACATATCACCGTCATTTACATCTTTAAAAAAACATTTTCTTACATTTTGAGGCCCAACTTTTCATTTTTATTTTCCATTTGGAACCGAAATAAAAACAAATATTACTACTTTATTTCCTTTGAGCTAAATAATGCTTTTATTCAGTACAGCACTGAAACATCTCCAATCACAAAGCAGTATTCATGGGTTTTTATGCAAATACATGCAAATCAGTGGTCCCTGAAATAAATGTTGACATTTATGACTCGCAATTAAGTTTGCCTCTGTTTTACTAGCTGAGGGGAAAAACCGGGCCCAAAATTAAATGTGGATCAAAAGATGCAAAACTATTTTAAGTGTTTAATCTCATATATATTTTCAAGATAATGAGTGAATTTCAGGTTTTCTCGACAAAATGGGTAATTAACTCATTATCTTGAGAAAACCTTAGGGAAAGTCCCTGCCAGTATTGACCGCTTTCAGCCTCATATGTCTACTTCTAGTAAATGATTTGTTTTATAACGGTATACTAGATAGAAAAATAAAAGAGGAAATTTCCCTCCAAAAAAATGTCAGAAATGTTCTAGAAAAAACAAGGATTTCTGTTTATTTCAAAAATGGGCCATTTGTTAGAAAAAAAAAACTTTGATTAATCTCAGAAATTTTCAAGAAAAATCCTGGGAATTTCAGAAGTAATTTTTTTTTCTTTTGAAACTCAGAAATTTTCCAAAAATCGAACAATTTCGACATTGTAAACTGGGGAATTTCCAGATATTCTAGAAAAAAACAGAAACTATGAAAAATGCTTTTATCCCCCTACCATGTCCCTAATACTCCATAATTATTTAGCGATAACTCCCTCTCAGGTTTCTCTGGTGGTAAAGATGCGTCAGCGGTCAGAGCGGTTACCTCCTCCGGCTCCACCCCGGCGGATCCTCCGTCTCCTCCGGAGGCGTCCTCCTCCCGCTCTCTGTCCCGCTGTCTATGCGGCGTTTCCGGTCGGACAGCAGCTTCTGTCGCCTTAGTCTTCTCGTCCGGGGCCAGCGCCTGGCTCTCCCCGCCGCCGCCCGGGACCACGATGGACTCGATGAGGTGCAGCTTCTTCCGCAGGTCCTGGTTCTCCTTGTGGCTCCGGCTGATCTCCAGCTGCAGCACCGAGTAACCCTCCTCCACCAGCTCGCAGATCTCTACCAGCGCCGCCTTGGTCAGCGCTTCCAGGACGACGGAGAGCTGCTCCTGGAGCGCTTTGCTGCTTAGAACCGACATCCTGGGGCTCCAACAGAACCGGAACAGAACTGAGCAGCTCCGAACCGAACGTACGAACCCAAGCCGACCTCACAAACCGTCCGAGACGACGGATACAAGCCCCGCAGAGAGAGGACTACAACAGAAGACTGAGACTACAGGGAAGAGTCATGGTTTTCATTATTATTACGTAACTACCGGATAAATATTCTATTTCAAAGTAAAAGTAGGCGAGTCAAGTTTAGAAACTAAAATTACTCTTTTTATTGGTAAACATTTACTTTAACTCTCCCACGGTATTTTAAATAACTCAATAATTTGGACACTTATAGGGGATCAATACTGCCACAGAAGAATAAATACAGAAACAAATAAATGCTCAAAGATGTGATTAAATGTACAAAAATACAGTAAATAAATGGTGGTGGTAATTAAATTAGCCAGAGGTAAATGTATACATCTCTTTTAATCAACTCCTTTAACCTTTGTAATTGCTTTATCAATAACTTCTTTTTAAAGTTTTATTTGTGTATGTTTGAATATTTTTCTCTGTTTTATTCTCTTTTGTATTTTCTTTCAACTTTTTCATTTCTCCAATGCTATTTATTTCTGCCTGTGTTTGTTTACTTTTCTAAATGTATTTCTGCCTCTACAAATGGCTAAAATCCCCAAATATTTGAGACCTTCATTAAAAACCACATTTATTTGCATTAATAGTCAATGGAAACCATCTTGGCATTACTGCACAGCAAAGGATAACCTCTACAGTCTGCCTGCTCTTTGGGGTTCAGCCAATCAGCACCAAGGAAAATAAATGGTGCTTCTGGATTGGTGGCTTGAAAATGCTAGCTAGTAGCATTATGGCTAGGTATTTTATAGCTGCATTTTATTTTGGAATTTTAAAGATGTGCTAAAAAAATAAATAAACTACAGATAGCTAAATTTCTTTTTAAATAATTTCTTTGAAAATAATTTACTATAGTTGTACTTCTAATTGTTATGACAACTTGACATTAACCAAGAAATCATTACTGTTTAAACTTTACCTTTAATAACATAAAGTTACCTAATTTTTAAAGTGCAATCAGTAATACTTTTATAACAAATTTATATCAGAAATGATTTCTTGGTTAATGTCAAGTTGTTATAACAGACATTTTGAATAATGTCAACTTTGTATTAAAAGTGTCATAATTTACCGAGTGACGCTTTATGACAACAGTCATAAATATTCATGAAGGCTTATTCATGTTGACAGGTGTTATGACATGTTTATGACGGTGTCATGTCAGTCTTATTCACCCCCTTCAAATAAAGTGTTACCAAAACGATTAACTTAAAATGAAACTATCTCCACTGAACCAACAGATTGTAAAATGATCATTAAAAACAAAAATGCTTTTTTAAAATAACTCTAATTTAGTCAACTGAGGCATAGAGCTGACTTGTACTTTTGATAAATTATTTGAGGAGGATTTCACTGCAGCTGCAATAAATTTTACAAATGGTTAACAGTTTGAATTTATTATTAAACAGTCAACATTATACACACATCTTCAGTGTTGCACTTTATTCATCGGTCAAATGTTTTTTGTTCCAGGTGTATGTTTAATTATAGCCACCCTGGGAGAAATCTGCTTTATTTATCATGAGTGTAAAATTAATAACATTCCAGGATTGGTGGATGTAAGCACAGCAGGTTGTTCTTCAGTTTCCACATAGTGACAGAAAATCCTGGCACCTGATTGGCCGTTTTCATTAGAAATCAGAAACTTTTTAGATGATCAATAAAGATTGATTTAGTCTGAGCTTTTCTGTCAGTTTTAACTTTGTTGTTTGATTCGGTAAGATAAAAAATAAAAATTTAACTTTAGAAAATCTTCCTCTTACTGACTGACACCAAACTTCAGCACCACTCATGCAGTCTCTAAAGACAAAGCTAGATTACTACTGGAATGTCTTCCTGTTTAAAAGTTAAATAAAAATGAATGAAAAGGCAGAGAGAAGAAGTCTGAGCAGCTTTTCCACTGAAATGTCTTGATAAACGGAAAAAGTCATGAAACTACTCGAGGTTCTGGTCCATCAGCAGAGCCGGCCCAAGGCATATGCAAGTTAAGCAGCAGCTTAACTGATCCATGGAAGGTGATTTCTTCCTCCTGTTGACTGCTGCCACTGTTGGGAAAATACAATATCTCAAACTTGTTTACTGTGAATAGTGTTTAAAACTGTAAATTTAGTGTTTATCAGCTGATGCTACTTTCAAATCCTTAAAACAATATGGCACACTTAAATACCACTCAGCATTTTAAAATCCAAATTATTTTTTAAACTTATTACTCCTGTAATGTTAAAATCAACAGCCAAAATAACACTGGTAAGCTAGTTTCAAATGTTGCTAATGATAGTGGGAACGTTACACACAGAGCAGCTCAGGAATGAGGAATCTGTTGTTGACATGTTGGTATGGGGGGCCCCATGTGAAAATCTGCTTTGGGTCCCTAAAGGCCTGGGCCAGCCCTGTCTGTGGGTCAGCAGGTCTGGGCTCGGTTCTGGCCCAGTCAAAGCGGCACCATATGATGTTTCTGCTGGTGGATCCGCAGGTTCTGCTTGGCCGCGAAGCGTTTCCCGCAGTGCTCGCAGGAGAAGGGTCGCTCCCCCGTGTGGACGCTCTGGTGCGTCTTCAGGTGGCCCGACTGCGTGAAGCGCTTCCCGCACTGCGCGCAGCTGTACGGCCTCTCGCCCGTGTGCACGCGCACGTGCGTCTCCAGGCTGCGCGATGATGTGAAGCATTTTCCGCAGTAGCTACAGGCAAATCGCTGGTCCCTGCAGAACCGGCTGAGCTCCAGCGGGTCGAGCCTGGAGCTGCCAAGCGCCAGCAGCATGGAGCGGTGCGGCACCGGCACCATGCTGGGCACAGCCTGGCTGCTCCAGGAGGCACCGGGGTCCAGATCCACATCGCAGGGGACGGACCCGACCAGAGCCGAGCCCCGCTTCAGGTCTGACAGTCCGGGCAGAGCGGCCGGTCCGTCTCCAGACCCCAGCAGGAAGCCGGTCCTCATGTCCGCTGCAGACAGAGCGCCGCTGTCCGACTCGGAGGCCAGGTCAAAGTCCGCAGAGCTGCCCTCGGCGGCGCCGGACGGGCCCGGGGACGGCCGCCCGCTGCAGGAGCTGCTCTGGTCCCAACACCGCATGTCGGAGATCTTCCTCCCGCACGGGCCCTCCTGCCCCACAGGGAGGCCCGGTTCTGCCTCCGTTCCTGAACACGGATCAGAGCGAAAGGTTTCACTAACTCGGGCCTAGTCCATACATACCAGGATATCGAGAAAGCTGAACAGATTTATATACGGTTTGGTCTTTCGTCCACAGCAGAACTCTGTTAGCGTCACTACAAACAATTATTAAAAGGAACGTATTATGTAAAATTCACATTTTGCATGTTTTTGTTCTTCCATTTGGGTTTCTACTGCTTCTAAAAACAGCTCAATGCTTAAAACAAAACAGAAATCACTCGGCTGGTTTTGGCCAGACATATCTCTGATGATGTCACTTCCAGGAACTTTGTAGCCTACAGCCTTCTTGGTAGGTATCCTTAACTGTCATGACAGTTGCTATGGAGTTTCTATGACAACAATAAACAAGCCACATTTTCTGTCTCAGATGGGTCAATTTGTTGACATCTGTCTCTTGCACATTGGTCAAGAGGGTTTGTTTTTGCTTTGTGCTACACTTGCCTACCAAGATGGTGGTCCAGTGGCGCAGATGACTTATGGTTCAGACTTGTGGGAACTATGTCAATATTTTTTTCTGGTGTCTGGAAAATTAGTGATTTCAAAAACCTGTGAAATATAACGTCACAAATCAGCAGGTAATGCCTGTCACCTAGCAACCCCAGCAAAGTTCCACCGTTACTTAGCAACCCCAGCAAAGTTCCACCCATTACCCAGAATCCCAAGTTGAGCTGCAGCACCTTTGGTCAGCTGGTTCCTAACAGGAAGTCGTGGTTCTTTTGAAGGACTGTGATTGGCTGACAGGTGTTAGATTTGCCCCTTATGGGTCTGGATGCTCAGTGGTGTAATTCAGCAGGTTGGTGTGGATCATCACGTTTCTGAAACTGATCCCATGTGTATGAAATTTTTTAAAATAATGTGTTTTTGTTTTGTTTTTTTTATAAAGAAAAACAAAACGTGGACAAGGCCTAAAGCTGGAATATTTGGATAAACCCAAATGAACGTGGGTTCCTCTCACCGTCCTCCTGCAGGAGCAGCGAGTCGTCCTTCTCCTCCTCTGTGTCCTCTTTGATCACAACAATGTCCTGATCCATTTGGATCGGCTCCTCCGCAGCAGCTGGAGCAGAGTCCTGTCAGAAAACAACATGGCGGTTTTACCTGGATTAGTTTATTAGTGAAGTAAAGTGATGGTGGATGTCTCACCTCTGCAGGAACGGATCCATGCCCTCTGAAGCTGGAGGGTTTTACCTGCTGTAGAGATGCTTCAGCTTCCAACTCTGGGTGGAAAAACAAACACAGATAAAAACAGAACTACAGGAAAAAAATCCAGAAAAATGTCTAATATTTCCAGGATGAAGTGTAAAATGCAGAAACCCCAGACAGACAGAATAAGCTGTTATTTTTATACGTTCTCCTGGCGTTTTGAAGGACTATCAGATTCAGCCTCAACTGAAACGATCATACCAGTAAAGCACGGTAGAGGCTCCATCATAGTTTAAAACAAAAATATCTGCTTGTGTTGAAATGCCTCTGAAAGCCCAGTCAGTCATCTCCACTGCACTGACGAATAAAAATATCAAACTTTTATGCTTATTCCAACTGTACAAACAATATTTTTAATATCTAGAAAGAATGTATGGTTAAAACTTGTGGTTTTCCAGATCAGGACATTTGAAACTTTAGGAAGAATTCTCATGTTTTGTTTTTTTCCAAATGTTTAACACTGACAGATTTGTAAAAAATAATCAGAAACCATCATGCTACTAGCTTTGTGGTGCTGTAATAAATCAGGAATGTGTGTAAATGACATCAGTTCCAAAATCCTTATTTTCTATTCAGTCCTTGGAAAGATGGCAGTGTTTACTGTTTATCCAGTGCTGCCCCTCCCCCACCTGCTGCTGAGGAAAGAGGACAGCTAAATGTTTTCCTCTCAAGAAAATTTTGGCATTTGGGAAATAAAGGAGCAATATCTACCACACTTTAACACTGTCTTACAGCTGCTACTTGTTTAATCTTATTTAAAATATGACTGCAATAGCTGTTATCTTAGGTAGGTATAATTGTCATAATGTTTCAAATAAATACAAACAAATTGTTATAGTTTGTAGTCCAACACCAAAATCAAGCGATATCTTTAATCTGTGTTATTTCTCTATGTGTGACATTATAGAATAAAAACATTAACTAGACAGTAGGTTGGTGGTGGCCACATAGGATTCTGCTCAGGGCTCCACTCACCTTTTAACCGGCCCTGGAAACAGGTCAGTTGAACAATAACAAAACAAACCCACTGAATACTTCTCCTTCTATAACTATAGTAACGCAGGGATGTTTTGTAGTTTCCGGTTTTATTAATATGCCGAATTAAAAAGTGACTAAAAGTAAACTCTTCCTGCTGAGAATTGCATCCTAACTTTGTTCCCAGTAGAGCCGAAGCCGCTTTATTGCAGTTTTCTAATGGAGTTTGGTGGAAACATGAAGCTCTGATTCCATTATTCGCAACCAATAATAATAATAAAAACAGAACCGGTGATGAACCTTCACCTGTTCGGTTCCGCTGAACTCACCGGCTGCAGCATCCTCCGGCCCGCCGTCCCTCCGGCGGCTGCCCCGAGCGATGATGGACTCGATGAGCTCCAGCTTCGACCGCAGCGCCTCGTTCTCCTTGCGGCTGCGGGAGATCTCCAGCTGCAGGACGGCGTAGCCGTCATCCACCAGCCCGCAGATCTCCGCCACCGCGGCTCGGGTCAGCGCCTCCATGATGGACGACAGCTGGGACTGGAACCCCTTCAAGCTGCTCATTCTGGCGGGGAAACGAGCGCAAATCTCAGCAGCAGCAGCTCCGTAAGGCCGGGAGGGTGAGATCCAGCGACCTCCAGCTTTCTGTAGACAACTACACCGTTTTTGAAGCCGAAGAGCGGCTCACCTGCTCAGGGAAAACGGCCGGATGCTGCAGATGTTGTTTGGACTTCCCCTCTGTGTGCGCTGAATTTTCAAAATAAGGGTCAGAGGCTTAATGGGATGCGGTGTTCAAGAACACATTGTAAATGCGGGCTTTATTTTATTTTTTTTATGTTTGACCATTTAATCCTGACAAATGAGTTTAAATGTACATTAAATAATATATGTTTGAAGAAGATTTTGGAATTACGAAGTATTGGGGTCAGACTAAAAAACAAAAAGTTAATATTACGAGAATGACACTAAAGTTGAAATAACACGAGGATAAAGGTGTAATATTATCATAATAACGAAATAATACGAGAATAGGGTCGTACGATAATGACCAAGGCATAATAATATAAGAATAAAGTCATCAATATGAGAATAAAACTGAACCGTAACATTGATCTTTATATTGCACGACTTTATTCCCGTAATTCATGACTTTATATTGTATTTTTTAATTCGCCTGCTCCGTCTTAAGACGAAATTGTTACTCGATCAGAAGAGATGTTTTTACGCCTGAAACAAACAGTAAATGTGTGACGGTGTTTCTGGTGTGTAGCAGAAAATTTAAGTAATGTAGAAGCATCACCCAGCATGTCATGGAGGGAATTTGCTAAATCAAAAAGTTCATGAGAAGTAAATGTACATTTGAGAACCAATAAAAAGTCAAATATTTCATTTCTATTTCAAGTTCTAGTTTAAATTCAAAAATATTTTATTAATCTTAAAGGGAAATTAAATGTTATTGTAACTCCTATTATTTAAGAAAAACTACAGTAAAAACTTAAAAATAAATTGTATTGAAAGTCAAGGTTTCTTTATTAGGAGACAAAAAGACAATAAAACAAGCATGAGTTGCTACAATAAACGTAAAAATTCATACATTATATAAAATAATGATGGAGTATTTATCTTAAACAGAAGTCTGAACTCGGTCTGATTTATTGATCAATTTTGACTGGATCCTATCACTTTTGTTACATTTAAAGGCTCACTAATTCACTTAAAACTTCATTTTTTATTCTTAATTTTTGACTTGTTTTGTGATAATTTCAAGTTCAGAAAAGAAAAGCCTTTAAATTAGTTTTGATATGCTTAAAATTTCCTGCAGAAATTGAACGTAGCATAAAGTTGGTTTCCACGGCAACGCGTCACAACAACTGAGACGAAGATGGTTTACAGTAAGTTTAGGGGGAAATGTTCCGAAAAACTAATAAAAATGAACACTTAACGTCTATAAGCTTAATTTTACAGTTATCTTTTGGATTTATTTGTTTTAAAATCATATTTGTATCTAATTTTATTAGTTTTTGGTTAGTTTGTTTCCGCTTCATGGAAAATAAATGGTAGTTAGCTTAGCCGCTCAGTGGCGTTGTTACGTAATGTAATAATAAAGTTCTGATTTCCAGAACTTTATTATTATTTTGAAAGACTATGCGGAGAAGTATGCGTAAAATATAAATATCACTGATCAATAAAAATAAGTTAATTATAATATTCTAATGGTTTAAAATAGTCATGTGTTGAATTAATTCATTCTGTTGTAGGTTCCTGACATGTTTTAACATAATAATTTAATCATAAACATTCAGAAATGCTCCATAAAGTCCTGTGGGTCCATGTGAAGTCCATGTTCTTTGTGTTTTTCTCCATCCAGTCACAGAGGAGCTGATCCGGCGGCGGGCCGAGCACAACGACTGTGAGATCCTCTCCCTGGAGGAGGTTTCTCTGCACCAGCAGGACATCGAGCGGATCGAGCATGTGGACCGGTGGTGCCGGGAGCTGAGGATCCTCTACCTGCAGAACAACCTCATCCCCAGAATCGGTATGATCGGTTTACAGGAGACACATCAGTCTGAGCTGCATGGAGAACACAGGATGGGGTTTATGCTGTATCATCTGCAGCTTCAAGTGATTTATTTGAACCATTCTCCTTTCAGGGTGGAATAATAATTATACAACATACAGTAGAAATGATAAAAAAAACTAAAAAAAACAATGGAGTTTGAATTTATTATTTATTTATGGTAAAAATGACTCAAAACTCCTCAGCTAAGGAAGGAAGTTTAATGTCAGTTTGCTTAGTGAGTTCCAAAACCAGTTCTGATGAGTTATTATAATATAATTGGTCAAATATTCATCCAGAATTATGTTAAGATCATATTGACAGATACAGAAGTGTCTGGAAAAGGTGAAACCTAGTGAAGAGCTTTGAAAAATACAAGTGAGGGTGTGAATACTTTTGATTAGAGACAGTTTAGAGACAGTTTTAAAAAATGACTTCATTTCTTTTTATTCCCTTAAAAAAAAACCTTTGAAACGACTCATTAAAATCCCTAAATTAAAGCATTCATGTCAACGTATGGAAACCAGAACTTTATTATTTATGGTAGAAATGACTGGATAACGGAGACATGAATCTTTCAGCAGCAAGAAAATAAATTCTGATTTTTAGGCTGAAGATTCGATCCAGAAACTATTTTTGTTTCAGAAACCTTTTATTCTATTCCAACGGTCTACAGATTCTCTTTAAATTATGTGACTGACCAGAGGAATAATTTTATATAGAACATTTATTTAAAACAGTTCTAAAAATACTCAGATTATATTTAAACAAAGACAGGTTTGTGCATAAAATACTTAAATAACAAATATTAGGTTAGCTGCCTGGGTTTTTCTTAAATAAAAATATATCAAAGAATCATTCTAAATATTATTTTACAAAAGTTTAAGCAGGTGAAATGTGATTGTCTTGAATTGATTCACAATTCCCAGAACTAGGATTTTTTTCCTGCTTCTCTGTTGGATATGACTGATTATTAGTGTTTCATCAGTTATAGAGCTGCAAATACTGAGTTCCTGAGGAGATATTATTGTTTTATCTTTTATAGTTTGGTCTTTTCTGATGTTGCAGAGAACGTGGGGCGCCTGAAGAAGCTGGAGTATCTGAATCTGGCCTTGAACAACATCCAAGTCATTGAAAACCTGGAAGGTGTGCGCTGAGCCGACCCCGCAGGCCCGTTTTTCAGAACCAGACTCTGATTTTGCTCCTGCCCTCAGGCTGTGAGAGCCTGCGGAAGCTGGACCTGACGGTGAACTTTGTGGGCCTGCTGAGCAGCGTGGAGTCGCTGCAGCACAACGCCCACCTGAGGGAGCTCTTCCTGGTGGGGAACCCCTGCACCGAGTTCCAGGGCTACCGGCAGTACGTCGTGGCGGCGCTGCCTCAGCTCAAGGTCACTGCACTTCCTCACACATCATCAGCAAAACCGTGATTTTAAAGAGGACCTGTTACATAAAATTCACATTTCGCAGGTTTTTGTTCTTCCATTTTGGCGTCTATTGCTTCTAAAAACTGTCCAAGAGCTTAATGATCAACTTTTTTGATCTTTCCATCATGTTATAATGTTTTTCCTTCATCAGGAACAAACCTGGAGTGTTGCTTTGATTCTTTCAAACATGTTTGAGAAATCCTTCAATCGCCAAGTCTAAAAAGCCTGGGTGGACTTAGCCCCGCCTTCAAAGTGCAGCTTCTCCCCTCAGCTCCTTCAGACTAGCCAGCAGCTATTAGCAAACACCTGGTGAGCTACTTCTCAGAGCAACACTGGTAAAAACTCTTTTAAGGGGTTAATAGAGGATCCATGTTGGAATGACTTCCTGGAGGCGGAGCTTCAGAAACAGCAGGAGCTTCTTAAAGAGACAGAGGCCCAATTTCAAGGCGTTACATTACGGAGTCAAATTTCTATGAATCCAAAGTACCCAGCTATGCTGTAGCTGCAGGTTAGAGTTTTTTGGTTTCAAAAACCTTCAGAAGGTAACATCCATAATCAGCAAGCACTGCCGCGTTACCTAGCAACCCAAGCCGAGCTCCAGCCCGTTTGCTCAGCTGGTTTTCCTGCTGTCTGTGCTGTACAATGGCTGCTGGAAAACACAAATGTTCCGTTGTTGACTTACCATCCTGAAACCACTTGCTGCATTCTGGTTGGTTGTACAGGAGGAGCCACTTCTTCTTTGCCATAAACGTCTGCTGACCTGTTCCATGAAGCATAATAGGTCACCTTTAAATACCTTTCAGGATCTTGATTTGAAGACAGTACCTGCAGCTGAAGCTAAGTCGTTAGCATCCAGAAGTCCCCTGTCCTGTGTGTCCGTCTCCAGTGGCTGGACGGGACGGAGATCAGCCGGTCGGAGCGGATCAGAGCCTCGCAGGGCCTGGAGCAGGTGAGGAGGCGAGTCAGGGAGCAGGAGCAGGAGTACCTGAGGAGGAGAGAGGAGCAGAGAGAGGAGGCTTCACGACGAGACAAGGAGAGGAAACCAGAGTGAGTTTCAGCAAGTGGAGTTATTTCTATCAGAAGAACAGAGTTTTGATCGTATTTCCCTTTAAATTCAGGATCTGGAGGTGAAAGCAAACCTGATTCAAACTTTCCCAGATGGTCTGAATGTCTGCGTGTTCCTCCTCAGCTCACAGGACGACAAGGAGAACCTGCGGAGCGCCGAGGAGGAGGAGCAGGACTTCTGGCACACGCCCTGCTCCTTCACCCCCGAGTCCCGGCTGGAGGCGCACCGCCGCCTGGAGGAGGAGAAGAACGCCAACAGGAAGTGAGTGGACCAGTTTCATCCGTTTTATCCTCTGAACGCTTTGACTCTGTTTGTGTCAGACGTTCGATTTAACTCACAATAATCCCAGTTCTCTTTCATGAGTCTGACCAAGAAATTATTTAGCTTTTCTTTTACAGTAAATTTAAAAGAAAAGCCAAACATTTTAACTTTATTGTTTTGGAAACAAATTAAAAATGTGAAATTATTTTATGGAGCAATTCTCCTAAACATTCAGAATAATTTTGTTGAGAAAATTGTCAATTGTTTCCTGATCCTGCAGATTATTCTTGTTCTGACCTAATCAATCAGACTCTGAATAAATAAACATCTAAACACAGATTTAAAAAACATATTTAATTATGTACTTACATAGTGTATCTATATTAATATATCCATATTATTAGAAAACCAGGCGTTAAACAGGAACCAATATCTGAGAACTTAAAATATGAACTTTGTCTGTTTGGATGTAGTTTAGGATCTTGGCCACAAGGTGTCACTATAGCCCCTGTTTCTATCTCCACCTGAGCAGAAACTGAACATCTGAGCAGCTGATGTTACGACGCTTCCTGACATTTTCATATTTTCTTCATCCTTGAGGAAAATCAGAGGAAAACGCAGAGAAATGTTGCAGGAAGGAAGCAGAAAACAGATTCAGCTCCAGTTCAAACTGGTTCAGGATCCAGTTTAACAACCAGATAGAAAGATGGAAACCTTCAGTCCAGGTCGCACAAACATCTGGACCTGTGATCCCAAACCACAGAACCAGACCTGCTGGTACCTCCCAACCCAACTAATGAGGTTTTTTCTCCTTTTAGGATTCTTCTGTTTTGGGTTTGGTTCAGATTTATCCAGACTTTAATATCAGACCAAGAAAACCTGAGTAAACAAAAAACTGCTTCCAGGACCCGAGTCTAGATCAGATCAGATGAGTTTTCCATTTCACCAAATTTGATGTTAAAATCATAATTCATCAGCCGAATGTGACCAGGTCCGACTTTTCACATGAGTCTGAACGGCCCGATTCTTTTTTCAGACATCCAATCTGAGCCACTTCTGTATGTGGAGCTAAATTACAGTTTTCAAAGCGTCAGCAGTCTGAACTCTCATGTCGCATTTTATCCAACTTTTTCTTCTCTGACATGAAACATGCATCTTAATTCTGCACCAGAAGAAGACAGACGGTAAATCAGGGACTTTCTCATCCATTTGTTTAGATCTGGACATAATTTGTCTTTTTATGATCTACCAGCCTACTTCCTGTTGTCAGATGGGTTCTGTTTCAATAATTTAAAGATATGTGGCCATTTTCAGCCAGACAAGTTTAAAGCGAAGTGGCAAAATCAAACGAGGTGGATTAGCAGAGCTAGAAAACAGCTGATGGAGTCTCTGCTGCCGGGATCATTACAGCCTTCAATCAGAAGCCTCTTCAGATTCGTTGTAAGACTGGCTGCTACTGGAGCTCCTTCCGGCCCACAGCATCAACATTCACCCTTTTTTTTCCATCAATCTATTTATTGAACTTTTGGAATAAATTACAGAAAAAACACAAGAAATTATTTCCCTTGAAGTCTTTATACACTGAAGCCAGAGATTCATCAGAGGAAGAAAAAACAACTGAGTTAAATAAAAAACAAACCAAACAGAATAAAACATCGGTACATGTTGAGCGTTTCTGTGCAGAACCGAGAGCGGACCTTTGGGTCATGGCAGCACGATGCAGCTGCTGCTGGCTAACGGACCCATCCTCAGCGTCCTGAGCAGATGAAGAGATGGCTGACCTTAATCTGACGTCAGCAGAGCAGATTAGAGCGTCTGCCGCCGAGTCCGCTCGGGTTAATTAGCAGCTTAATGGGCCGATTGTTCTGAGAATGTTCTGGTGACGTCGGACCGAACAGAGACCGGCCAGGTCAGCAGGAAGACGGGATGTAGCCGCTGAACCCGTCCTGGATGGACAGAACTGGACCCAGAGTTCTGCTGCGACCCGCTGAGACTCAGAACGCCCGGGTCCAGAACAGAACCAACGGGTCCAGAACAGAACCAACGGGTCCAGAACAGAACTGACGGGTTTGGAGGTGATGATTTACAGGTTAAATGTTGGATTGTTTGAAGTAGGAAAGTTAACGTGTGAAAACGTGTTGGACCTGGTTGGAGGAAACGTCTCTGGGACTCTGACTGGACTCCAGACTGGGTCCCGCTGATCCAGAACGATCCCACTCAGCCAATCACAAGACGGAAATATTTAGTTTCCCACAGTTTGTTCCAGGTTCACCAGGTTCCCCTGGAAGCTGAATCTGTTTCCAGAGTTTCCTGGACGACAGCAGACAATCGTTTGGGTTGTGTCGCTGACTTTACAGCAATCTGTCATCGTGATTAATCATCTGGTGGAGTGGAGAGGAACAACGACCTTTCAACAGGAAGAAGAAACCGTCCTCTGCTACAACTAACAGGACAGAGGAGAGACAAGCACTGAACTGGCAGCAGAGTCAAAACAAAGAGTCAAAACAAAGAGTCCACCAGGTTGATCACATCAGTGCAGTCATCAGAGGTTCAGCCTCGGAGAAAGCAGAGGAGTACTGAGCCAGGAGTACTTTCCATGGTGAAGTGCACAATGTTAATGGCAGCACTAAGTTCCTTCACCATTATCAACTCTCACTGCAGCCGGTTAATGTCCAGGTTGAGCTATCGTCAGGTGTGTCTCCGTTGGTTTCTCAGTCTGTGGTCAGGACCGTCGGCAGGAAGGAGCGGTGGCCAGCGCTCCAAAGTCATTTTGCACCTGTACTCTTGGGCAGACAGGTTCTCTGAAACCTCTCGGTATATTGATTCATCATGGGTTGCCCTGACCAGTTGACCCTCACAGGTACCGCTGTCACTCATCCAGTAACATAAATCCACAAACCAATCAGCCAAAGCAGCTGGCCTGGCCCGGTTTCTAAAGAAAATAAGAGAGGAACTGCCCAGGCGTGCAGAATCTGGCTGGGGCTGACCGAGGAAGAACCGCTTAGAGCCACAATGAAGGAGAAGGACCTACGGTCCAATCGACTGCTGCTTCAGTTGGTTCACACAGAGTACCGGCCGTCTCCACACTGCAGGTCTTTGTGCTTTAAACTGGTTTTATCTGGTGTGTCTTCATGACTTAAACTGGTTTCAGCTTTATGAGTTAAACTGGTTTCACCTGGTGTGTTGTTGCGTTTGGGCCGGCTGTGGGTCCATGCCAGTGGACCTGAGTCTTTATAACCCGGTGAATCAGCCCCATTGAACCATTAAATGATTAAAGGATAAATCATTCACCTCTTTGCTGAGCATTTTATGTGACTTGATGTTCGAGGTGTGCAACCAGGACAGGAAGCTGATACCAGTAGAGCCAGTCCTGCTAATCTTGCGCTGTTGGGATTAAAGTATGTGAGTCTGTCGGCTGTTTCCTCGGTTAAAGGCTGCATCCGTCCCTTTCTGAAGGTCCGTCAGTGTCATCCGGCCGCCTGGTGGAGCGTCACTCTGCTGTTCTGTAACTGGAGTGGTAAAGGGTGTAGCTGTGATTAAAGGCCATTCAGATAAACCTGATGGGGAAACGTCTCTGATTATAAATCCATAAACTCTGGGACCTGCGGATCAGACCGGACCGTCTGTGTTCAACGCCTCCAGACGAACCAACACACCATCCCACCTCTAACGGGATGATTCGGGTTTCCCGTCAGTCTGCAGGATTTACTCGGTTCTCATGTTTCTGTTTATTTGTTGTTCAAAATAAAACCACAGAGCTCAGGTTTAGGCTCTGAAGGAAACAGGGTCAGAACAAGCAGACAGAGCTGAGAAAAAATGTCAAATGGCTCAATTTTTGTTGTGTTTTCTGGCACAGAAAGTCGTTACATCAGCTGGTCCGCTGTGGTTCAGTTTATCTCTGGATGTCCACTGGTTTGCATCACACAGAGCCTTTAGAAAGTCTCGGTTTTCACACTGCCCATGAGGACAGAGCCGCTTCCTGCTGACTCACAGCTTTCAGCTTTCCTGACACCTTAAGCAGCAGAACAGCCGAGCTTTGGCCGATGAATGATCCTGCTGGGTTGCCGCTCTCTGCTGCTTCGTCTGCTGCCAAAGACCTGGAGGTGTTTCTGATCAGTCCTCCAAATGTTCAGCACTTCAGTCGGAGTTAACCCACACTCTGAAAAGTAAAAGTTTTTAGAGTCTAAAAAGCTCAAAGCACCAATGAATCCATTCATCACAGGAATGTCAGGAGAGATGAAATTCCTGCTCCTGTGGTTGTTTCCACTGTGAGGTCGACCAGGAGACGATTCTGTAGAGCTGAGACTGAAAACACAAAGACGCTTCAAGGTCAAAGAAGCTGACAGCCTGACTAATGGGGACCGCTAATCGAGCTGCATAGAGACGGTGGAGGTGGAGATTAGCTTGAACGGTTTCTCTGAGGCATCATCTGGTCTGCTTTGAGTCCGTGTTGAGTATGTTCGGACCTCTGCAGAGTGGAGTACGCCTGAGCATGCTGGGGCCTGAGACACCTGGTGGGCCTCCGGTCCTCTTACAGTCTAAACAACCTCTGAGTGTCTTAAGATGAACTCCTCCATCAGTCCAGTGCGACCTGACCAACCGCTGAAGCTCAGACCCAGACAGCCCACTGCCAGCCTCACTTCTGAACGCTCACAAGTTCAGGTCGTCATCGTCTCCACTTAGGGTTTGTGAATAACCAGAGGTGTCCATCAGGGATGGAGCCAAGACCAGTTCCTCCAAGACCAGGACCAGCTCTCCTTCTCTCCGTCCCCCTGACCCTCTGTCTCTCCGTCCCTCCTTCTCTCCGTCCCTCCTTCTCTCCGTCCCTCCT